AATGAGTTAAGGCATGAAATTTGATGTGATTAAAGTACACATCCTAAGCTTTAAACAACTAGTGGATCACTTAAAAGGGTTGTGTGTGCTAAGAGTTATACCCTCCCGAAGTCAGACCTGTAATCAGGAACTTAAACAGTGAATAGTAATCGAAGTAATTATGTTGAAATTTTCATGTTACAGGCTTGTTTCGTGAATCGCTTAAACGATAATAATTCCAAACGTGTACTTTAAGGGGTTAAAGGTAGAATGTTTCAATAGATGATGATGCAACAGTAGTAATACACAACATTGCCTCTGTCATTGGCCTATCATAATTTCTCCAAGCAATCATAGGATTGTTTTCCTTGTAATGAGCCACCTTCTCTGGAATGTTCTAATCCAACCCAAATTACATAGCCACACAGTGTGGAAGGTACATCTCTACACAATCTATTCCCACCAACTCAGAATGCCTAAGGCAGCAGGCAAAGGACTCTAAATACTGATGAGAATCTAAATTAAAACATACCCACCTATCGTTCTTATTGTAAAACTTTGGAGAATCTTTATATGGACGCCAAAGAAAGCTTTTTCCAGAAGAGTCTAGAGCTGTACTCACATCTTTATAATTCAGTATTTTCACTTTTTCCCATTTTGCTGTCAAAGGTTCGGCATACTAAATTATGTTAGACTTCAAATGAAATTATAGGAATCTCTCCAAAGCCCAGATTTGGACCAGTTGAAAAGGCAGTCTTAGGATTATTGGTTCCGCAAGAATGCCACATTTATGACTTCAAAGTTTCCTTTCAATAATGTCAAATCTCTATATATACTTGCTAGAACAGTAGCCGCTAGGGCAATTCGGGTACCTCTAGCAAGATGAATTTCAATGGAAAAAATCTATTTTGAAATGGTTCGAGGAAACACAAACCTTGCAAGCCATAGTGATATGAATGCCACGTGCTCCAATTCACCTCCTTCCTCCATGAAATGCCTCAACCATGGAAGATGTTCTTCCTTTTTGGCTTTCGTCTTTATCAAATTTCTTCAAACACCTTCTAACATCTGTTCGATTTGCTTCCATTCTTCATCTTCAAATGTTGTCCAAGAGGCATTAAAACAGAGGACCCCATAACAGAATAGCCCCCACAAACCATTACGTCTTCTAATGTAATTGTAGCTTCACCCCAAAAGAAGATGAAACTGTTGGTCTTAGAATACCACTTCTGTGCAAGCACAAGAACCAAATCATCACTTCTTGGTATTAGGTATGTGGAAGCTTTGATGGCTTCGAGTATTCCAGTGTCTCTCCATACATTTTCATAGTTGCTACGAAGCTTTTGTTCCTAGGTGTTTCATTATTCCGATGGGTTCAGCCATCTGGTGAATCTTATCCGATAAGATAACACTTAAGACATGGAAATGGCGGTTCTAGAGAAGAGGGTTTTGGGAAGATGATTGGATTCTAGGTCTTCGATGCATGTAAAACTAGGTCTGAGAAAATGGGCCATTCTTAAATAGGGTTTTCCACCAGATGGAGATACCATCAACTCTGCTTCTCTTTTTTCCATCTCCATTGAAGAATCAAAACTGCTGCTAGACTAAAATAAAATGGGAAGAATCAAGGATGAGTGATAGTGTTAAAGCTTGAAAAGAGAGAATTTAGTATTTCAGTTTCACTTTCGAGGACACTCTTTAGTTTCCAACAAGTCAAAGCGAGCATATTGGCAGGGAGAGAGAGGGTGCTTCGTGGAGACATGTACCAATTCGAACTCTTGCGGAACTACATACAGAGTACAGACTCAAGTAGATTTTCAACGTAGAAGTTTGACTTGTTTCCTTATTTTATTTTTGATACAACACCCCGTTTGACTAATTTACTTTGAGTCCTTATATAAAAGAGGGAAAATTATTCATTTGTTCATTCACTAGCTTGAACTTTCTTTGTTTTTAGGTTAAGATGCATCAAGAGGCACCTAAAGTAGTATTTTGTGTATATCCAGAAGTTGTTGGATGCATAGATATGGATGCACCTTAACCTTTTTTTTTTTTTTTTTACCCCGAGAAGTAGTCAATTTAATTATGTAAAATTGGCATTTTACTATTTTGACTCCATTAAATTCAATTCCAAAATTTTCACTTGGTCCAATTCAATCTAATGAAAAAATATATATAAGACCTTTTTACACACTACAAAAAGGGTCTACATATGATGAAATCTAGGTTATAAGTGTATATATGTATTTTAACAACTAACAATTATAAAATAATAAATATTCACATGAAAATTTATAAGTCCTAATTGACATTATAAGGGCTTATACAGAAATTTATAAGTGTTTATATATAAATTTATAAATCTACATACCTATTTTACTAACAACTAAATAATAAAATAATAAATATTCCCGTGATATGTGTGTATTATTTGGTTCTCTATCTTTCTTTCTTTGTTTTTGGCCCATTTTCTTAATTTTTAAAATTTAAAAAGTAATTAAAAACCTCTTGATTCTTTCTTTCTTCCTTTTTTTGCCATCAAAATCTCTTAATTGAATGATATTCCACGCCTCCTCTCACAGAGAACATTGTGGGGGTCTCATACCTAAGATTGTCAAACTCGAGTTTAAACAAATTCGTGATAATGATATAAACTCAGACTATAAACTCGAATAATAAACTCGTAAGAGTTTACTTTTATTAATAAATGGCTATTAAAAGTATATAATCAAATAATTAATATATAAAAAATGAGAACAATTTCTTTTAAATATATTTTTATTTTAAATAATTGAAATTATATCCATCAATATTCATAATTTATCACATTCAACAAAAAAATTTTCATAAAATTTATATATAAAGTCACTAAACACAATAAAATTAAAAAATTTAGCAAAAGTTTAAGAGTGAGTGACACAATTTTGTAAGCTAAAAATATAAAAATGGTAAAATCAGCAAATGAACTCATCAGTTTAACTGAGTTTACGAGTTTAAGAGCGAGTCGACACAATTTTGTTAGGTGAAAATGTAAAAAGATTAAATTCGGAGACTCAAAGTTTGACAACATTGCCCATACCCATTATAATCAAAATGCAAGGATTCAATGATGCCACTATATGCACTTAGATGTAACAAATTAGTGCAATGCACTTAGATGTAACTAATTAGATGTAACTAATTAATGTAATGTTGGTTTCCGCTCTACAAGATACTTTCCTTAAGTTGAGTTGGCTCCCATCTCCAATATAACAATCCAACATATGGTAGGGTCACATATCCTGACTCCATCTCAGCAATCACCCACACGTTGCGACTTGGACTTGCAAAGAAAAAAGAACTAGTTGGATTCCAAAAGCTTTTAATGCTGGGAAAGTACAAGGCTAGCGTGTAAGAGTATATGGAGAGGTCATATGAGGAGGCCATATAGCGAGGCTAGAGCACCAAGCACTTCAAAAAACCATTAATTCTTGTAAACCATGTTGGTGAATAATCTATACTAATAGCAGAAATAACTTGACTAAAGATGGATCCAGAAAATGTAACTAAAACTCAAAGCTCACTCAACCTAATAGTTCAACTCACACTCCAAATTGGCACTCTACACTCGCACAAACAAAGTGAAGCACCTTATAAGTCATCACACCTCAATACACCTAACCAGTACACATTCCTCTCCATTTAAAAGGGAATCAAATCTAAAAATGGTTACTTGGCAATGGAAGTAATTGTTTGTTTTCCTTATAGTTCCTTAGAGTTCAATTTGGTGAGTTTAGTTTGGTGGAATTGTACGCACCACTTTACACAACAAACTCAACTCAAAACGAGTCACACTCCTGCTAACACAACAAAGTCAAGCACCTTAACACATCTCAATACACCTTAACCCTGAACCTTGAACCCTGAACCCCGAACCCCAACCCTGAACCCCGAACCCGAAGAACCCTCAACCCGAACCCCCGAAGCCCTAACCCGAAGCCCTAAACCCCAAGCCCTGAAACCCCAAGCCCTGAAAGCCCTATGTCGTAAACGCTAAACCGCTAACCCAATACCCTTGAACCCCAAATCGTAAACCCTAATCCGCAAAGCCCGAATCCTAAACACTAGAACACTAGAATCCTGAATCCTAAGCCCCAAATCCTAAACTGCTCTTTTGGTAACTGTTTTTGTTTGAATACATTTTTTTTAAAAATCACATTAATTCTAATTTTTGGCTTATTGGTTATACTTCATCGTTTTAAGTATGAACAAATTAGATTTTTTGTTTTTTTGGCATTTTCAAGCAAAGTTTATGACTTAGCCGTCTATGCGTAATTATAATAAGGTGGTTGGAAATACTTCCTCCGATCATAAGTATTTTTCAAAGAATGACTTCATTCAAATTACAAGTCACTTGGAGAATAATAAATCTTGTTTTCAATTTTGTTCTTATAATTAATGTTTAAATATAACTCGTTGTGCCTTTCTCTTTCCTTCACAACATCATTTAATATAGATAAAGTTGAAAAAATTTATTTTGAAGCAAATTTATTGAGCTAATTACCATTTTTTTGTTCTCATAAATTAGTTAAAGTGACTTACATTGTGAACTAGAAAGCTATCTTATAACACAGCACCAAAAAGAGTAGAAATAAGAAATTGATGGCACAATGAAGCATTTGGCATTAACCAAGACATTTTTAGCGTTAAAATATGTGCATAGGATTACCAATAATTAATTGTCCAAACCTTGGTCTAGTCAAAAAAGAAATTGTCCAAGCCTAGGAAAATAACTTCCTTTTTAAAAAAATTAAATATCAAAAGCCAACAAAATTGATCCAATTGGTAAAAAGTGGGCTCATAACTCATGGTCATGAGTTTGAATCCCAATATTGATATAAGAACCTTTTTGATGAGCAATTTATAAGTAATTTTCTCAACACTTTTTGAGCATGAATACATGTCCTTGCCCTAGTAAGTCTTCAGGACCCAACTCACCTATTTTAGGTAGCAAAGAAAAATTAGATGTCAAAGAGATGCCATTTAGTTTGTTATAGTGGCTCTGCCTGTTAAACGCTCGAAGGTGATAAAGCCATCTTCGAATTAAAAATTGAGATCCTGATATCTCCGTCAACATATTCCACAACAGATTTTTTCCCTCTACAAAATAAAATACTTCAATGGGATTTGTATATGTTTCCTTGTACCATCTTTCACCTATCTTCAATCAGGAAGTAAATTTCTACGTACATGCTTCCTTCGGTCCTTCCTATATATTTACACTTTTACGGCGTCCGTGGTGAGCCAAGTCCAGGCTGCAGACTAATGTTTCGATAACATGGCTTCCATCTCTCTCCTCCTCGCGGCATGTTTTAGCTTCTCCAATGCAACGAGTCCAACTTGCCTTACTCTTTCCCTAGACAACCCTATCCTGCAAAATAAATATGAATCATAAAGAAATTTTCATTCTTCCCCTCAACATACGCTACAACAGATTTTTTTTCCACTACAACATAAGATAGTTTAACGTAAGACCTCATAGGCTCATTTCGATTCAGCATTAAAGCGGTATGATACTAAGCAGAAATCAAGAAAACGCATGGATATGGTAATCCAAATATCAGAAGCTTTCAACAGCTGTGAATGAATTAAAAAGAGCCATGTCATAGATGTAAAGCATAACGCATAATAAAGGTTCAAGAAATAGAAGAAAAGTCCACTTGATAATGACAACACTATAGGATAGGAAGAATTACTCTAAGATCCCAAAGAAGGAAGATAATTACTAAAAAGTTCCAATAACAAGTAAGCAGCTAAAATATATTGTCAATTCCTGCATTGAAACTTGTTATTACAAACTGTCTAGTTGTCATAGGGACTTTATAGTAATTCTCCCTAGAGAATATAACCAGAAACTGTATTACACGTTGAACTCACCGTTTACTTATGTCCTCCCAAGTAAGACACTCTCTATCCAGTCCATAATAAAGACGAATGATTTCTCTCTCTCGTTCTCCGAGGGTCACATTGATGAGTTTATTCACTTCGTCCTGCGCATATTTACAAGCGGAGTTAATTTCAGAGTTTCCTCTTCTTCTTCTTCTTCTTCTTCTTCTTTTTGGGGGGTGGGGGGGGGGGATCAGAGTAGTTTACAGTAAAACAACAAATACAATTAGTCAATACAAATTGAACACGAAACTGTTCCCATTCTATAGCCTTGACGGTAAATATAAGTTGAAGTTCAGCACCCCTTTCCCTTCTCTTTTGCAGTCTAACCAATAAAACCATTGATATAAGTTGAGTCTATTCTCAGCAAACCTCCCACCCTCTGGGGCAATTCATCCTTTAATGCTGAATCGAAATTGTGATTGTGAGAAAACAAATTCATATCTAATTAAATATGAACTAATTTGTCTAGGAGGTAATTAGAATAGAGCTAACTTAAATATAACCTTCTTCAACATTGGGGTTCTATACAAATAATCTTTCTAACCGTTAAAATTTTACAATAAACGCCCTCCAAACTTATTATATTTATGCAATAATTTCCCTGCCGTTAATTTTTTTTGGTTATTTCACTAAAAGAAAAAGAAGTCACAGATGATTTATCTTCATACGATCTAAAATTTAGGGAGGTTATCTACACATAACTCAAAAGTTTTAGTAGGCTATCTATACAAAAAATTTTAGAAACGTATATGACTAATAACAGATTGGGCTCAGACAATGAAATAACGGAACAATCAGCAGCAGATAGGATTTGCACAAACTTGAAATTTTAGAGCGTTCCTTATCAAGTTTAAAGATGAAGGCCATAAGGGGATTACTTGCACATAATTCAAAATTCAGCAAAGTATTGTATAATTTATCCTTATAATAATTCCCAAATAATTGTCAGTCTAATTACAAGGCATCAATTCAAAGAGTAATATTTAATCATTTCATAAATAAACCCTGATTTGTAAGTGCTCCTATTAACTAGATAAACCCTATTTCATTTTGATGGCTAGATCAAACTCATCAAATTGTATGGCGAACGGCTAGCTCATTTAACTCATTTAGCCCGTTTTGATGGCTCTAATACATCACTACAACACATAAGTTAATTTACTAGAGTTGTTTATTATCATGATGTCTGCATCTTGTGACTAGAATGCGAATCAACTTGGGACTACAGAAGAAGTATACACCAGGCAGGTAAAAATGCAAAGGAATCATATCAGAACAGGCCTTTAAGTTGTACGCTCTAATTCGATATGTCAACAAAAGCACAAGTTTCCTTAGTCCTAACATGGTCAGATTTCATAAGTTTATCGAAAATCAAAATACCTTTAGAGCCCACTCATTTACTCCATTCCATGGAATATTCTCAATGCGATTATCAGCGATATACTGGAAAAGAAGTAGGAGAGAATTATTGTGAGAAAGATAATTAATAGGTATTGAAAAAGAAAATGTAACTTGTTCTGCGAATCTTTGTTGAATGGACATGTAGAGTGAGTTTTTTAAGTAAACCTAAACTTACACTATGATGAGTTTCGCCTGGGAGACCATTCAAAGAGGGGAATGCTTCCCTATCGAGCGAAATAACTTTATTGATTGCCTGCAATTAGCAAGTACATGCTGAACAAACGAACAACAGTATCTTAACTATAATATGCCCATACAATACTCATTGTTATATTACCTCAAAAGCATTTCTAACTTTCTTTTGAGACATATTTAGGCATTCTGCAATCCTCTGGAAACAAGGGGAATAATTCAGGCAGGAATATCAATAATTTGGAGCTTTAAAATATCCGATGGGGAACTGTTTTCTTTTGTGAATCAAGTTAACTTACATCAACTGTTGGGGTAATGCCCCTTTCTTCCAGTCTAAATTTTGCATTGCGGATTGAAGCTAATCTCTCATGCAAGTGAGTGGGCAATCTCAATGTTCTTGAATTCTCAACTAAAGCTCTTGAAACACCCTACCGCCCAACCAAAAAGAAAAGTTATAGATAGAGATATATATATATATATATATATATATTATATCATTCACGCAGAATAGAAAAAAGATAATTCGAGTTGGTTGGACCAAGTTGAGGCATATGATTCCAATCTAATTTGTTAGTACATATTAAGTGGGACCCAGAAATTAATGAAAATAAAATGGAAAAGTTGATGCTGTTGTTTTCTCTGGTCTACATCCTTGTTTCTATATTCAGAAACAAAGGAAGCAACTCATGAATCATATTTTCTCCAGCAGAGTTCATGGAGAAAATAGTGACAGAAAGTATATCATACTGAATACCCGAATCAGAAGTCATATAAAGCTATTATATTTACATTTAGCGTCAACTTATTTAATGTCTGGTGAATATATCTTTCAATACGCTGTCTTATTTCTTGATTTCTATATAAATTGGGTTTCACTAATGTAAAATCTGAAATACGGATGTCTGGTAAATATACTATATAAAAATAATCATTTTGAAAACCAAGATGGTTAGGATGTCTGGCATTCTGTCCTATAAAATACAAATGGAAAATATCAAAATAACATGTAAGCCTAACCTGACGTATCCACCAATAAACATAGGTTGAGATCTTAAAACCTTTTGATGAATCAAACTTTTCAATCCCACGAAGTAGTCCAATCAAACCGCCCTAAACATATAAACATGATGAGTCTTTCATAAAAGAGGAAATTAAGAAGCTGACTGCAGAAAAATTATATCAAGCCTGTCATGATTGAAGTGAAATATTATAAATCACCTGAACAAGATCAGCCATTTCAGCACCCATGTTATCATATCTTTGAGCAATTGACATGACTAAACGAACATTGCTCATAGTCAACTTCTCTCTGGCTAAAGAACACTCTATCAATTTTTCTTGGAGTTCAGCATGAGATATCCTCAATGACGTTGCAAGCTGATCATCAGAGGGTTCGCATCCTAATCTTTCCTTCAGTCTGGAATTGAATCACAAGGGTAAGAAACCGTCTATAAACTATTAACTCTCAGATAACGCAAATACAGAATTATTTGAAAAAATTCCTTCAAATGATAATGATGTATCAAGAAAAATGCCAATGTGGTTTTCCCATCAATTCATTCAAAAGGGCGGTTATTCTGTCAAGCGAAAAGAATATACAATTTCTATATAACCTTTCCTGCATTCTTCCAGTATACCAAATAATTTTCATCAAACCAGCAACTTCTCTTTCCCTATCACTTGCAGTCTATATTGAAAGTTGAATAACAATATTAAGAATTCAATTTGAATTTTCATTTGTTGAGAATATCTGGTTTGCTTTGCTTCCTGATAAAGGCAAACCAAAAAAGCTACAGAATCACCCTACATTAGGTTCTCATGCTCCACCTCTAGGAAAATATATTACGTTCTATATTTTACATAAGCTTACTATTATTATGTAACAGAAACTAACTGGCTCACAATAAGAAATTATTCCTTATCATTTCAGTTAACTATGGGTTCAAGAAAATGTGTAATTACCGGGTTTTATGCTCCTCTAGAAAAAGCCCAACTTTTATCTTCTCTGATAAGTTGACAACTTCTGCATGAGAAAGCAATTCCTCACTCACTACCCCTTTCACATAGCCCTTCAAACGGTTTTGAAGCAATTCGGGATTGATCACTGACTTCGGCTGCGAAGCAGGACACACTGCATAACCAGTTTTACTAATAGAATTCCTTTTGATATTTATTCTTCTCTGCCTTGCAGACACCCCAGAGCAAGTGACTGCTACTTTCTTGAGAGTTTTTTGTTTTCTTGAATGCTCAGTCAGCACTTCCCTTTCAAAAGAAAGGTTCCATTGCTTTTCTAGCATTGACTTCTGAAGCAAAAGAAGAGCCTCCACAGAATAACCCAGATCAGAGCTTTCCACCTCCAAGTCATTGTAATTGTGTCTCTGAAACCATGGCTCTGGAATGGCTGGGTCATTATCAATGTGCTCTTTCAGAGACTTAGTGGATTGACTCTGCCGGTTGGATGTAGGAAGAGTCGGTGCATAATTGGCCGACTTCTTAGCAACTATAACCGACTTGGTAGTAGTAATCTGATAGTGTGCAGATCCATTATCATTGCCGTGAGACAGCTTTTCTGTTATATCAGAGAAATGGTACGTAGAACTCAACAGCCTCTTTCCTGCACTGACTCCAATAACTGCGGCTATGGCCATCATATGCCTCCCTGTTCACTATGTACGATTACCATCAAACTCTTCTATTATATCGATGAACCTTGTCTACTGCTCCTATAGCTTTCAGAAACTTTCCAGTTTGTTGTTAACCTTCGGACAAGTCAAAGGATTACATCCAGAAATAAAATTATAAACCAGGAATTATTTTGAAATTTCAAACTTCTAAAAGGGGTTCTAATTTCCAGGACGCCTGAGAATATAACACACTAGAAAAGCATACAAGCCTGCTGCAGATAACAGATGACATTCCGGATTCTGAGATTTATCCATAAGAAAACCACCAACAAGAATCCAAATGGGTCTAAGAAAAATTTCCTACTCCCAGTGAAAGAAAAAGGTTGCAAAGGGGAAAGAAGCTCCTGGGGTCTGTAAATGGCATACCTGAATAACTTGCGATCGACGACGACGACGATGACGACAAAGACAAGAAGGCGAACAAAAGGACGAGTCCGCGCCGGTAAAGCTGAATCAAACAGAAAGGCGATTATTATTCCAGAAAGTATCAGTCAGCATTCAGAATAATTCAATCAGACGCTGAAGCAGTTCCTAGTGTAGATGCAATGCAGAGTAAAGGGCTTCAATAACAAACCGTTGCGCCAACCTGTGTCTGGGAATTAACGTCGATAAACTCTCCCTTATTATTATTTTTTTTTTAAGTAACATTATTATGTTACTCATATATAGGCGTGTGACAATAGGGGAGAGGTGTCATATTTGCGATGGCGGAGAAAAACAAAATAGAACCTCAAAGAAATAGTGGAAAAAGAGGAGAGAAAGACCGAAAAGATCAAGATATGGGAGAGAAAGACGCTATTGGCTGGAAGAGATATTGGGTCCGGCTTCGAGTGGTCTATACTGCATGAGCTTCACCGCTCTTTTCATTCCACGTTTTAGATTCAACCATCGCTTTTTCATATCTTCATTTCTAAATTAAAAAAAAAAAAGAAAAGAAATCAATACAATATTGTGGCTGTTTAGATTAGCAGTAGAAAAAGTATCTTATTTTTAATTTGACTTTTGAAAATATTAGATTGGATAATAAAATTTATGTTTGGATTGGCTTTTGAAAAAGTTAGATTTGATAAAAGTTGAAGTTGTTTGGATTATGAATGATTAAGCAAGTTTAGTTTGTAAAATTACAATAATCACGCTGAAGTCTTACCCTCTCACGTCTTCTGATTTCTAATGGCAGCAACGATGACGACTCCTCGCGTCTTCTGAGTTTTAAGTCTTCCTAATCACGCTGAAGTCTTACCCTCTCGCGTCTTCTGATTTCTAATGGCAGCAACGATGGCGACTCCTCGCGTCTTCTGAGTTTTAAGTCTTCCTAATCATGCTGAAGTCTTACCCTCTCGCGTCTTCTAATTTCTAATGGCAGCAACGATGGCGACTCCTCAAAGCTGTGTTGTGATTTGCAGATTCAGACGATGGCTATGGTGGCTACTCTGCGTCTTCAGATTCAATCGATGATCTCTCCCTTGATCTGCCTTTTCTATTAGGTTTAATAAAAGGGCACTACAGTACTTTTATTAAATTTTAAAATTCTTATTTAGGTTATGCAACCTAATTAGGAATTAGAAAAATTTGATGACCCAAATATGAATTTGGGTTATTAAACCATCTTTTTAAGGGATTTTCCCAATTTAATAAATAATATATATTTAAATTAAAAGTTATAGTATTGTGATAATAATGTTGAGTCCACTGACAAGTTCCTCCCCTCTCGTTCAGCTTCCTAGAGTTGCCTTAAAAACATGATTTCATAAGCTATAAGTAGAAGAATCAGGATTAAATATTGGAACTGTTGGCCATAAATGAGATTGCCTAATAGCTAAACCAAACATCCCATTGAAAAGCCAATCGGGCTTATGGCTTCAAAACGTTACAATAAGAGAGAAGTGTGAGGTTAAAATAAGGAAAAAAATTTTTTGGTAAATAGTAATAGACTAAGCTCACTGTCTAGTGCAGTTCAGGGTATCAACAGAAACACATTCTGAAATGAATGGAGGAATAGTAGAGAACCAATGACTTCCAGGGGCTGTACTAAGACCTTCTTTCGCTAACCGATCTGCAACAGCATTCGCCTCTCTGCTGCACCAGTTGATGTGTACGTCCTACTCACGACCCAAGACGTTTGTAATTTCTCTGAACAGAGCTTCATACTCTCCTTCCACCTCAGTTCGGTTGTTTAAGACCTCCACCATCTGCAAACAGTCAGACTCTATGATAACAAAACGATGTCCAGAGTCCCAAGCGTGCTTGAGCCCTGATAGGATGGCCCACGCTTCTGCTCCAAAGCTATCTCCTTTGCCCATATTACAGAGGAAGCCGCCTAGGGGCTCGCCTACCCAATTTTGTAATATTTCTCCATAAGCTTGCATCTCCGACCCCAATGAATAGGCACCATCAACATTCATTTTAACGTACTCTCTCAGAGGAGGCTGCCATCTATCTGTGTCAATTCCAACTCTTGTGGGTGTCGAGCTCACACCCAACCTCCAACTCGCACACGCCTTTACCTTTGCAAGCACTTCCCCAGCCTTGATCTCCTTGTGGTCAAAGATTTTGGAGTTCCTAGTTAACCAGAGCTGCCTACACGTAAGTGCAAACCATTCCTTCCATCGCACACCTTCTTGCTGTGAGGTCTGTCTAAGGTTCCACTCGATCCACTTCTTCACATCCTGAATCGAGAAAAACTTAGCTGTCATATAACTTGAAACCGATCTGCCCCATACTTCTCTAGCAACCCCACAATCGCAAAGAACATGCAAGCAGCTCTCTACCCTTCTCGGACACCATAAGCAATCTACGGAAGCAGTGAAGCCCTGGAGGAAACGAGCTTCGTTCGTAAGTAATCTATTCTGTGAACAAAGCCATAGAAAACTCTTGCACCGCTGCGGGGTATTCAGTTTCCAAATTAACCTCCAGTGGCTTGTACGAGACGAATCCCCACGTTCACGGAGACTATTATACGCCGATCTGATGGTGAAGACTCCTGACGGGGATAAACTCCACGTAGGATAGTCTTCTGTATTCGCACTTATAGTAGTGTCTACTATCTCTCGGACGATCACCTCCGGTAGAAACGAAGCAAAACAGTCTCTCTGCCAATCCCCTACCTCCGTCAAGGCATCCGAGACACTCATATCTACCAATCCTTTGGGTATTGAAGAAGTTGCCTAGTCAAGGAGCCTGCCACATTTTGGGAGCCACCTATCTTTCCAAAATCCAACGGTCCGACCATTCCCTAGCTTCCAATCTAAACGCTCCCTGACTTCCTCCCACATACTCTTGATACCCTTCAATGCCTGAGAACTCCCTCGTTGTAAATTTATCGTGGGTAGTACATCATTCCCACACTGGTATTTCTCCCCCATAAGTTTGACCCAAAGAGAATCCCTCCGTTTGATCATTGCCCATCCTAACTTCATCATGCACGCCTCGTTTTGAGCTTTAGCTTGTCGAAGGCCCAGACCACCTTCCTCTTTCTGCATGCAAACTTTGTTCCAAGAGACTAGATGGGGCCTCTTCTTCTTGTCGTTGCCTCCCCATAGAAACCGTCAACATCTCTTATCAATATCCGAGCAGATTACAGAGGGTAATGGTGCAAACTGCATTGCATACGTAGGAATAGTGGAAAGTGTTGAACCCACCAGGGTAGTGCGGGCTGCCAAAGATAAAGTTTTGGCCTTCCAACTCATTAAGCAAGACTCCATCTTATCCAAGATACTCTGGTACGTGGTCTTAGTCACCCTTTTGTGGTGTAACTGCACTCCTAGGTATTTCCCCAGATCGTTCGTCAGAGTAAAACCCAAGAAGTTGCTGATCTCTTGCACATAGTAAAATAAGGAAAAATTACACACATCTCATACAACAGCAAAACATTACAATTGTGAAAAGACAATTTTGCCTTCATTGATTGAAAAAAAAATAGAGAGAGAGAGAGAGACCAAAATGGGATTCACTTTGCACATTTTTTACTACTACATGGGGGGGAAGGAATTGACAAAGAAGGAAATGAGCTCTACAATCATTTCCATCATCTTCATTATTCCAAGCAGGCTATCTATTTGATTCATCTTTGTAGGTGTCATCATTAACAACATTTGTCTTCTTTTTTCACACAGTCCTTAAAAGTTTCATATCAGTTTGAAAGCTGATTAGATATGGATCTGTGGGTATTATGGATATAATTCAACAGAAGTTGCTTACTTTAAGAGGTGTACGCGAGTGTCAATTCAGTCTCATTCTTCTGGACATCATATGATCATTCTTTCTTATGGCACAATTGGGTAGTGCCTTACCATGCCACAAGCGAGCGCAATGTAGCATTCGTGGTGGTGCTTCAAGATTCCAATGTATTGCGTCCAAGATCAAAACGAGCTTGCCGGTGGACCACTGAAGCTCTCGCCTTGCCAACGAGCAGACAGCTGATGGCTATTGGTCACAACTACTCACTTGAACTATCAAGGGTAACCCATTTTAGTCATATGTTGTCATATTCATCTTAGGTGTGATTTCATGATTTATGGCTAGGGTTATAAAATAATGCTATGTTTTTTGGTAATTTATGGTCTGTTTCTGCCAAAAATGAATGGATATGAAAAGTTTTTGCTGTCATAACCCCCATTATGCAATGGTGAAATGTGTTGTTAACGAATACATTGAAGGTTGTTATTGTAACTATATAACTTGTTAATAACAAGTTCAAGTAGGAAGCGTCTCTTTTACTACCTCCATGTAGGGGCACCAGTTATTAATGGTGTAGAAGATGAAATTCAATATGTTAGAGATGTTGTGAGAACAAAAATGATAAAAGAAGGCACAATATATGAAGAATTCAGAACAATAGTAGTATCAACGGTGGAAAAAGAAAGTATTAGAATGGTTGTGAAATTCATAGTAATCTTTGATGAGTATATATTTACAGACCTTATAGATGATGAAGGAGTGGAACATTTAATTAAATTTAATGGAGAAAGTGATCATGTATATATGAAAATGTAGATAAAAATTCATAACCAACAAGGGATGGTCCAATAGAAGAAGAACACATGTAAGTTGTATTTACTTATTTTGATTTCAAAGTAATATTGTTCTACTTAAGTTATCATTTCAGAGGTCAAAGGTTGTCATTAACAATCCTATGATTTGTCCTGTCATGCAGGATAGAAAACTTATTCAAAGATTTATATGTATTGTCTATATATCTACCCAATGTGTTGAGTGAAGAACCATTAGCATTGCTATGTGATTCATAAATGATGCCAACACCAATTCCTGAGATGAATTCAACAAAACAGAATGATTTGGTTATTAGAAAATGACAAATTTTTTCCAATACGGTGGCCCTTCGGCAAACACTAGATAGATGTGCAACCTGTATGTTTGTTTGGATGGGTTGTGAATTTGGTCTATTTACATTATAGATATATATGAAGTAGTAAATAAAATCTGGAAGTAATTTGATATAATATCATACTTATATTTATTGTCTTTGTCAATAAGTTGTTATGGACTTGTTATAACACACCGCGGAGGTTGTTAGTGGCTGTATGAATTAAATTAATGATACAAAGCCATCATTTCATCAACTTTCAGTGTTGTATGCTTTCTTCACATATGATTTTAGTGTTAAAGTTGTTATATGATATTATTTGGCTATAATTTGATCTTA